TTTTGGCGCCCCATTCAAAACAATCTGAAAGCGGGAGCCCGGACCAAGCCTATCAAGTTTGACCTTGCGCCTCACTCACCAACTTGGACCTCGCCACACACACACAACACACAGCCCACCAAAGGAAACTGCATACCAGTCCCACCCTGACAGAGAGGCCGTGAATTGGCCGAAGCCTGGCACAACATCAAGACGAGTACAAAAACTTCTGAGATTCTGCTTCTCCTCCTGACTGCCAAAATGTGCCTGTCCCATGGACACCCGTGGTGCCACAAGTGCCTGACAAGGACGCCTTCTTCTTGGCATCCCAGGGACTGAACTAACAGTGAGCCAGAGTGACTGGCAGGCCTCACAGTGATTCATGTTCGACTGATGGGCCTTCCCTTAAAGTTGGAACCCAGGCCAATCGGTCCACTTGCCCTCAAGCCCAACTGCCACCAGCGCCTCCAGGGCTGCAGCCGTCCCGGGTAGAGCCATTGGAAGGACAGAAGTCATCCGGCCAGGGGCCGCACACGAAGGCCCCACCTTGGGTCCCAAACCAACTTGCCGGACAAGCGACAATGATCAGAAATTGCAGGGTCTCACCTGGGAGGGTCTCATTTCTGACTTGATTTCAAGGTGTGACAAGTTTAAGCTGCAGGTGGCCAGTAGTGCTGGGGAACAAGTTAGAAACCCTGCAGCGACTGCAGCGTCCAGAAATTTCCAGGCCTGTTTTGGGCTCTGGGACCCTGAGAAGGTTTCCGCTACCCCCAAGTGCTCCAAGTGACTGAGGGACAGGAAAGGGGCAATCCAGATCAACCTCGCGCGCGAGAACACAGTCCCAATCCTGGAATGACTCATCCGTTACCAAGCTCGTATCGCACATGGGAAACATATGCGGCCGCCACCTCGACACAATCAGCGCCATCAGCGTAGGAGCTGCAGCGAAGGCACGGGCTGTCTGATTCTATCTGCGCAATGCAACAAGCCGTGCTTTGGCTCAGTTGATGGGGATCTCCAGCCCAAAAAAACAAAAAAAAAATACACCAGCATAGACCCCAGATAGCACACCATGGATACGAACCATGACGCAGCATTATCATGAGGATGTAGACCATGATGACACCACAGCCACGAAACAAACGCGCAGACAACGTCCTAATGAGATCAGCAGCATAATGCTGATTTTGAGAGCAATCCGGCAGGAAAAAGCAAACCGAGGTCCTGATGAGTTCGACAGCATCATGATGATGCGGACAGCATCATGATGATGCGGGCAGCATCATGGTGATGCGAACAGCATCATGCTGATGGTAAAGACAGCATCATGTTGATACCACAGCCACGAACCATCTTGCGACAGCTTAATGAAATTCTGCATCATCCTGATGTTGACAGCATCACGGCGCCACTACACCCACACACCATAACGTGGGAACATCATGACGATACACCAGCCACGAACCGTTACACGAACAGCATCCACCAGCACCCCAAACATGCCCCCTAGCACCCGGTACAACCAAAGCAGCATCCACCCGCGCCTCAAACTGCATGCCCCTTAGCACCCGGCCGTCAAGCTCGCAAAGCAGCATGCGCCAGCACCCCAAACTGCATGCCCCCTAGAACCGGCCGTCAAGCTCGCAAAACAGCATCCACCAGCACCCCAAACTGCATGCCCCCTAGCACCCGGCCAGCTCGCAAAACAGCATCCACCAGCAGCCCAAACTGCATGCCCCCCAGCACCCGGCCGTCAAGCTCGCAAAACAGCATCCACCAGCACCCCAAACTGCATGCCACTAGCACCCGGCCAGCTCGAAAAACAAAACAGCATCCACCAGCACCCCAAACTGCATGCCCCCAGCACCCAGCCGTCAAGCTCGCAAAACAGCATCCACCAGCACCCGAAACTGCATGCCCCCGAGCACCCGGCCGTCAAGCTCGCCGGCCAGCTCGCAAACCAGCAGCCCCCCACCCGGCCGTCAAGCTCGCAAAGCAGCATCTACCAGCACCCCAAACTGCATGCCCCGTAGCACCCGCAAAGCAGCACCCACCAGCACCCCCAACTGCATAGCACCCGGCCGTCAAGCTTGCAAAACAGCATCCACCAGCACCCCAAACTGCATTCCCCCTAGCACCCGGTCGTCAAGCTTGCAAAGCAGCACCTACCAGCACCCCAAACTGCATGCCCCCTTGCACCCGGCCGTCAAGCTCGCAAAGCAGCACCCACCCCCAAACTGCATGCCCCCTAGCACCCGGGCGTCAAGCTCGCAAAGCAGCATCCACCAGCACCCCAAACTGCATGCCCCCCATGCCCCCAGCACCCGGCCGTCAAGCTCGCAAAGCAGCATCCACCAGCACCCCACAGTGCATGCCCCCTAGCACCCGGCCGTCAAGCTCGCAAAGCAGCACCCACCAGCACCCCAAACTGCATGCCCCCCAGCACCCGGCCGTCAAGCTCGCAAAGCAGCACCCACCAGCACCCCAAACCGCATGCCCCCTAGCACCCGGCCGTCAAGCTCGCAAAACAGCATCCACCAGCGCCCCAAACTGCATGCCCCCTAGCACCCGGCCGTCAAGCTCGCAAAGCAGCATCCACCAGCACCTCAAACTGCATGCCCCCTAGCACCCGGCCCTCAATCTCGCAAATCACTTTCCCCTCTTTATTAGAAGTTAGAACCCCTATAGCTTTCAGCTATCTGGGGAAAAAAGAAAAAAGAAACCAAGTAGTTCGAAAATGGCACGCATGAGCGCCATGGGGCCACAATGCCACAGGTGAGGTTCACAATTCTGCACGTTGCCTGGGAGTTTCACATAGTTAAGTTGGACCTTGTGCGCGCATACTGTATATACATAGGGCCTAATGTGGCCCTTTTCGCCTCATCTCTTGCCAAACGCGGGCCCATACGGTTTCTGGGCCTCTTTTCCCTCTGCGACCTTCGTTTGAGCCAGCAGCTGCCAAAAGCTTGGGCCCAAGAAAGAGAATCCCGGCAAGGCGTCAAGTCTCCTGACTCCTGAAAAAGTCCGCCCCCAACCACATGTAGTCTGAAGCCACAGACCTGGAAAACACAAACCCCAGCCACAGACCTGGATGGGCCAAATTCGCTACACCCTCGCCATGGGCCAAGGCGGTCTTCAGCTCTTTGATGTCCAGCGTCTTAGACCTGTCCTCAATGGGGCCCACCAATGTACCCATGCGTTGTTTTGAAGGGGTTTCACATTGGATCGGCTTTACAGCCACATGCCTCAACAACCCGAACACCTGATGGCCACACAAAGGATATATGATTACATAACCAACGAGGGGGTGCCAGGAGCACAAACCCAGAGGTAGGTGACTTATCAATGATCATCACTCAGGGTGGGGCAGCATCCTGCCCTCCAAACAGACGGTGCCCAAGGGAGAGCAATCGCATCAATGAATTCGACCTTCTGTCCACTGGCACTCATTTGTTATAGCCTGCCACCAACGAAACACAATCCTGGGCGGGCACATTGTCTTTCACCTGCAACTCGAGCTTGCCATTTGAACATGCATTGCCACGGGGATCCTTGTCGGCAGCCGCGAAGCAGTCATCCCACGAATCCTGCCGAAGTCACGCGCCAAGAAAAGACCGGAAAGCAAACTTGCGAAAATTGCCTGCGCGGATCATAAACAATGGCCTTCAAAGTAGAGCAAGTAATTGGAGTGTGGGTTTGCTTCAACCCTGTTGTGTCTCCACTCAACTTTGACGGGGTCTCTTTGTGTCGCGATCTGATCCCCTGCAGCGAGGCTGCTTGCAAATGGGGCGATTGGCATTGCCATTCGGAAGGACCACTTTGTCGCAAACGTTGAACCGCGAAAAGAGGCATCATGACCGACAGCGCATGGGAGGGCTGTCAGAATTACGGAGTCCCGTCTTGGACCGTGAAATCAGCACCTTAACAAGAAAGCATCCTATTGACAACCTCCGCACCCATCCACTCGTGGGAACAAAGGTGCCGCGAGAACGTGTCCGCCGTCCTTCTGTCTCACTTTTGCCTTAGCTCGAGGCAAGGCTTGCAAATTCGAGCGATGCAAATGATCTTGAGACCTTACCAGGGGATATAATATAGATGGGACTTGCCAAAGGAGTATCTGGTCATCCGTCTGGGCATGTCCTGTTGCACAAGCTTGTCCCCACTATTGGATCCGAATCTCGATGGGTGCAATCTGGTCAGTGCTCAATCTGTACAAGTGGCATGTAGACTTGGGACCTTTAGACAATATCACCCAAGCCAGCGCCAAAAGGAATTCGGCGTGATTGTTTAATGGAGGCATGTTTCAAGAAACGACATTCGGGAGAAAAACTGCGGCCCAAACATAAACAAACAAAGCACCACTCAATACCGATGTCTGTTCATCCATCTGAGGCTGCGATCACCCTCGTGGCCTTTTCCTAAAACAAAAATTCAACAAATCAACTGGGAGACAGTGGATTTGATCCGAAGCGTGGCCCCTTTCCAATTCAAAAACCCAGGAATCAAGAGACAAGCAGCAAACAACCAAGCAAGCAAGAAACGAAGCAGCCAAACGAACAACACATGCATCCCACCGGCTCCACTTGCTTGCCGAGGCGCGGCCACCAGCACCCTCCGCGCTCGGCCGGCCACCGCGGACGCTGGCTCCACTGCCATCAGAGGCCAATCAGCCACAAGCAAGGAGCTTCGGAAGCGGAACAGGTTGAGCACAAGGTCGATAAATAAAAAAAAAAAAAAAAAAAAAAAAAAAAAAAAAAAAAAAAAATCTGCTTTCAAGGTATCCTTTTCTTTACCCTTTCCCGCGAGATTGGAATTGGTGTAAGTAGCGTCTAGCTCTTGCGGTTGATGCGCGGTCTTGCGATTATGCTGCAAAACTCTGCCTGCGTTTGATAAGGGAACGGCCCATCTTGGGCTTGTGCCAGCTGCACAGTACGGCGATAAATACAAATTGCCACAAAGAAACCGCATGCCTAGGACGCCTAGGATCCATACATCGATCACATTGGCCGCTGCCACACCTTTTCTCTTCACCGGCGCTCCACGTCGCTGGATGACCTGACCATTGCATCACAAGGTCCATTCCCCAAGCATGAACGCCCGCACGCTTGTAGGCACCCAAAAAGCCCAAAGCTCGCGTTTGCACTGGGCTTGTGGCCGTGACTCCACTTCCTCAGTGATGGACAGCTGAGATGTATAGTGTGCGTGTACAAAAAAAGGGGCACCCTCCCCCAAACCAATACTACTCCTGCATTTCCCACACCCCGGTCAGCTCTTGCAAAGTGCATGTCGCCTCCATTCCTTTTTAAGCCCGCGTCGCCTCAACAGAGCAGCTTGGCCTAGTTTCATGCATTGCCGAACCCGTTCCCCAAGAGAACGAGGCTGCCACTCTGGCAACAGATGGGACCGGCGTGTAAGAATGAGAAGCTCCTAGCTCCAACTTTGCCAAGACGCCGGATTTTGGCTTCGGCTCCTTCATGTAAAAGCAACGTTGGAAGTAGATGCGAGAAGCTTGCGGCATCATCCCTTGACAGGCCAACTACAATATCTATATATATATATATATGTGTGTGTGTGTGTGTGTGCGTGTATGCATTCCTTCCACATTTGAGAGCGCCTGTCCCTCCACTGATTTTGTCTCTTCTGCTTTCCTTCTGAGCTGAGCCCCTACACGTCCTGCTTCCTGTGACACACTTACTCGCAATTTCAATTTGCAATGGAAACCGCACTCCCCGTCCTGTTTGAAACCTCAAAGGCTTCTGGCCTTGGTGCTTTCCTGGACGCTGCGGTTGCTCCTGCTGCTGCTGCTGCTTGCGCTTTGACCTTCAGCAGTTCCATCACCTGGAAAGATGCAAAGCACAGTCCTCAAGCACCAAGAAGCATGCGCTGCCCTGACACGCAAACAAGCGCACATCCCCAAGGTCTCAGGCGCGGGCTGCATCCTCCGCTTTCCGCAAAGCTTCCGGCATGCCCTGGTCATGTCTTAGCCCTAGAGCGTTCAGGAGCTTGGCCTTGGTCACGCTGCCAGAGCTCGGATCAACACGTGGCCTAACCCTGTGTGCATTGGGAATTTGCTCATGGCAAAAATGGGCGGCCATATAACTTTTTAATTTCAGGTGTGAGCCTAGGCCATTTGCCCACGAGAGGCCACTGACTCGCGGACTCTTACCAAACAGTTCTGCCACCAGACCCAGACGCGGATACCTTGAAGGTGTCAAACGGTGCGGCAACAAACACACTAGCTTGCCCATGATGTACCAAGCCTGGTTGACTCACCAATCACTTCTGACAGCAGCCCTTTGTAGAAATAGGCGCAAGACCAAGCTGTTCCGAGCTCACCCAATCTCTGGGCTGGGATGGGCCGCTGTTCTCGCCCAGGCACTGTCGCAGGCATCAGGACTTGCACCTCCCGAACCTGGGCTCTGGGCAGTTTCGTTTGGAAGGGTTTTCTGCAGGGGTGCTTCTTTGCAACTCTCCCCCCCAAAACCCTTTGAATACTTGCTTTGATTCATGGCTTGACGAAACCAGGTCGTCAAAGGAAGAAACTGCTGTAGTACTGGCGCTAAGTGAAGGCTAGCTGTCATTTTGCCAGTAGGTAGTGAGACAGGTGCAGCACTTGGGGGTAAAAGGTGTTCAAAGTGAGCGCCCGGTGCGTGTTTCGCATGTTCCGGGGAAGCGCAAACCACCTCTGGCGCGACGCCTGTCTATGTGGAACAGGTGCGGAACAGGTTTCAGGCGCAGCACTTCAGCAACCTGAGGTACAGTCCGCGTGCGGGCACAGCACAATGTTCGATTGGCGGGCTGGTTTCGTGACAGGCGCAAGACTGTCGCAAGGTCAGGTACAGATTTCGTGACAGGCGCAACACGTCGGCATTCTTGGAATGTGTCGTTTGCGAATCCCAAGGACATGGACGCAAACTGTCACGTGACGATATCGTGGCAGGCGCAGCACTTCGCAAGGTCAAGTACAGATTTCCTGGCCGGCGCAGCGCTTTCACAGGATAGATCAAAAGAGAGACGGAGCGATGGCAAGAGAAACAAACAGACAGACAGGCAGACAGACAGGCAGACAGACAGGCAGACAGACAAACAGACAGACGGACAGACGGACAGACGGACAGACGGACAGGCGGACAGGCGGACAGACGGACAGACGGACACACGGACAGACGAACAGACGAACAAACAGGCAGACAGACAAACGGACAGAGAGACAGAGACACGGACACGGACACAGACACAGACAGAGAGAGAGAGAGAGAGAGAGAGAGAGAGAGAGAGAGACAGAGAGAGAGACAGAGACAGAGACAGAGACAGAGACAGAAACAGAGACGGAGACGGAGACACAGACAGAGCCACAGACACAGACGCAGACGCAGACAGAGACAGACAGACAAACAGACAAACGGACGGACAGACAGACAGACAGAAAGAGAGAAAGAGAGACAGACGACAGACAGACAGAGAGTGAGACAGACAGACAGACAGACAGACAGACAGACAGACAGACAGACAGACAGACAGACAGACGGACAGACAAACAGACAGGCAGGCAGGCAGGCAGGCAGGCAGGCAGGCAGACAGACAGACAGACAGACGGACAGAGAGAAAGAGAGAGAGAGAGAGACAGAGAGACAGAGAAAGAGAGAGAGATTAGATGGCTGGATAGCAAGATGGCTAGATAAATGGATTGGAACCGACTTGGTTATGTTCGAGTTAGATAGATAGATAGATAGATAGATAGATAAATAAATAAATAAATAGAAACATAGAAAGATACATAGGTAGGTAGGTAGATAATGGGATCGCTAGATAGATAGATAGATAGATAGACAGATAGATAGATAGCTGGATAGATACAAAAGATAGATAGATAAATAGAAGATAGATACACAGGTCAGATAGATAGATTATCAGATTACATAGAAACAAACAGACAGGCAGACAGACAAACAGACAGAAAGACAAAGGACGGACGGAAAGACGGACGGATGGACGGACAGACAGACAGACAAACAGACAGATAGATAGACAGATAGGTAGATAGATAGATAGAAAGAGAGAGAGAGAGAGATAAGAAAGAAACAAAGAAAGAAACAAAGAAAGAAAAAAAGAAAGAAAGAAAGAAAGAAAGAAAGAAAGAAAGATAAATAGATAGATTAAATATATAGATAGATAGATAGATAGGTAGGTAGATAGATAGATAGATTAGATAGATAAATAGACAGACAGACAGACAGACAGACAGATAGATAGATAGATAGATAGAAAGATAGAAAGGATAAAATAGACAAACAAATAGGACAAGATAGAAAGATAGATAGATAGATGCATAGATAAATGGATTAAGTAGATTGGATTGGATTGATTCGATTTGGTTATATTAGGTTGCGCAGATACATAGATAGATAGACAGATAGATAGATAGATACACAGATTAGATAGATTAGGTTAGATGAGATTAGATTAGATTGTGTAGATAGATAGATAGATAGATAGATAGATAGATAGATAGATAGATAGATAGATAGATAGATAGATAGATAGATAGATAGATAGATTAGATAGATAGATAGATAGATAGATAGATAGATAGATAGATAGATAGATAGATAGATAGATAGTACATGGTAGATAGATTAGATAATCACATAATCAGATACATAGATAGATAGATAGACAGACAGACAGACAGACAGACAGACAGACAGATAGATAGATAGATATATAGATAAGTAGATGGATAAATAAATAGATAGTCAGATTAGATAGATAGATAGATAGATAGATAGATAGATAGATAGATAGATAGATAGATAGATAGATAGATAGATAGATAGATAGATTAGTTGGATGGATGGATAGATAGATAGATAGATAGATATACAGATAGATAGATTTTATATATTTGATAGACTTGATAAATAGATGGATAGATAGATAGATAGATACATAGATAGATGGCTAGATTGATAGATTGATAGATAGATAGGTAGGTAGATTAGATGAGATCAGATGAGGTACGATTCCGATGAGATAAACGTTAAAATAGATTAGATTCGATTGATTGATTGATAGGAAGGCATAGGTAGATACATTGATAGATGGAGACAAACAGATGTATAGGTAGATAGATGGATGGATGGATAGACAGATGGATAGGGACAAATACATGGATAGGTAGATGGATGGATGGATGGATGGATGGATGGATGGATGGATGGATGGATGGATGGATGGATGGATGGATGGATGGATGGATGGATGGATGGATGGACAGATGGATAAAGAGATAGATAAAGATAGAGAGATGGAGAGATAGAAAAAGAGAAAGAGAAATAGACAGATAAAGAGAAAGGAAAAGAAGAGAAACAGAAAGAGAGAAAGAGAGAGAGAGAGAGAAGAAAAAGCGACAGAGAAAAGATGACAAGAGAAAGGGAATAGGAAGGAAAGAGAAGAGAAAGAGAAGCAGCAAGGGAAAGGGAAAGAGAAAAGGAAAAGGAAGAGGAAAGAAGAGAAAGAGCAAGATAACTATAATTCTTATATTTTAGAAACTTCCGACAACCGGCCCTGCCGGCTCCACTGGCACACAGGACAAATGGACTGCTCTTCTTCAGATGGGGACGGTGACGTGACTTTGAGGCATGGAACCATCTCAAAAGAAACGGACAACAACAGAGGCTAGAAAAACAAATGCCCGTCCTACCAAGCCCCCGGCCCCTCTCAGCATTTTATCGGCAGGCCCCAGCCTTCATCTGCACAAAAGCGCCAGGGTCATCATCACTCTCGGCACCCATATCTTGTGCCTGGGCTGCCAACGCTGCCGGCAAGAGCCTGAAACATGCTGGATTAAGGTCAAGCAACATCAGACTACCAGACGATGTAGGGGCCTTGGGTGGTGACAAGAGAGCTTGGCAAGCATGGTTTCATATACTTGAAACATCTTTCGCGGTATGAGCTAATTCTGCTCTACCACCATCATCTTGGTTGGGTTCCTCAGACGTAGCACATTGCCAAATGTTGAACGAGTTTTCAAACGGGACACATGGTTTAAGTCTGTTGCTGCTTGAGGGTACCGTTTTTGGGGTGATTCAAAAGGAAACAAAAGCTCCCCATCTGGAGATCCCCACTTTTGTACAAGAGCCGCAACCTTTCAGAGGGTTTCAGCTTGCGACCTGGGACCCCATGATTACAGTCCAACCCGCATAACAGAAAGAAAGAACAAACAAAGACGCGCAACGACTCCGCAGCGCCCAGCCCCGGTCGCCCCCTCGCTCGGCCAAGCGGCCAGCTGCCGGAGATGCTCCGTGCCGGAGGCAGCCGCGCGCTGGGCGGCGTCCAGGTCCTGCTCCAAGCGCTCCGCCTGAGAAACGTGGACGGTGGACACCGACCCGTGGGATTCCTGTGCAACAGCCTTCATTCGGGTAGTACGGCATTACAGTACTGAGGTATCGAGGCATTGAGGTATTGAAGTATTGAGATATTGAGGCGTTGGTGTGTTAAATCAAAGGGTTTGGACCTGCTTTTGTCCCTTTCGAGTCGGTGCTATTTTGGAAAGACATAAATTCGGGGGGTTGCCAGGCTTCCCCAATTTTTGAGACAAACCCAATCCAAAGGGAAAAAAGCAATTCGCTTGAGGCCCCCAAGCTGGGAGACCCTTCTTCGCCACTTTTGCCCGCTGCCTCCTGAAATGAAAAGGTCCGTTTGCAGTCCCGCAATACAATCGGAGGTCTATAGTTTGCGAACCACCCAAATGAGGGCGGCTTCACTTCAAATGGCAGTGGGTTGCGGAGAAGCCTCCTGTTCGAGCATAGCGAAGCGAAAAACTTCAACTCCTGCAAAGTTGCTTGGACGAGTCGGTAGTACATGTAAAAAAAGACAAGCAGCTGTGGCTGGAGATATGGGGCAGGAGCACAACTCAACAGCTGGCCGTGGGCCAAAAGCAAACTGTTTCAACTCCCCGGAAGGGAGAGGCCAAATGTGTTCCCAGCTAAGCCGCATGCTATGGCTGCTAGTGACCTATGTTTCCATGAGTTGGGATCTCGGAAAACGAGGTCAAAGTTTTGGCCATGCCGTCCTTTTCATGGGTGACCCTCCCAAAGCAAAAATAAGCAAGCATGCTGCTTCATCTGCAGAGTGGCTAGAAGCCTGAACCCAACTCATAATTCCCCAAGAATTGCAAGTAAACCTGACAGGTTCACTCTAGGTCGTGAATCAAAGGATCGATTGAGCTGGTTGTTTGGCTTGATGATTTGGATGTTTGAACGTTTCAGGTTGGTTCGCCATTTTGATGCACAGAGTCCCAAGGCAATAGTGCGTCCCGGAGAGCAGCTCTTTTGCTGGAAAGCATTGCTTCATGCCACGAGTGCAAATGAGAATCTGGCAATAGCCCTTGCTCGATTGTCTGATTGCGCCTGGCTGGTAGCAAAGGGCAAAACAAACACCACAGAGCTTTTGCTGATGTGTGTTCCCCTCCTTTATGCAAATTCACAGCGTGCACACGCATGGATGCAGGCACACTTGTAGGCGATTGTACCTCTTGTGGCACCCTAGCTTTCATTGTTTGTGTGTTGTCTTTCAAGGAGACCCCCAAAGAGGGCCACCATTGTGTCAACCCCTCATGTATATAGGCTCATGGCTTTTGAAACTCCATAGGGAACACACATGTGAAGGATGCTCACCAAACAGTTCATATCCAAACTTCATAGGGCCGATGTAGACATGGCAGATGGATGCCCTTTCCAGGCTGCCTCCCTGGTCGCCAGCTCGGCCGTGCGCTCCAGCTCAGAGCTGATACAATTCCGGCGCTCGATGGTCAGCAGCTGGGCAGGGGCTTGGGGCAACTTGTTCCGCCAGGCCCTGGCCACCTTCTCAAAGATCCAACAATTTGCCAAAGCCGGGGGTTGCAAATGTTTAAGCAGGGGGGTGGCCCAACCCTGGCTGGGCCCGAAAAGGCTGCATGGTCGACTTGGCCCCACACCAACCCCACATCATTTGGAAAAACTGACACATGCCCCCCCTCCACATCTCCGCGAGTCACACTCCTCCTTAGCAGAATCATAAACATTGGCCGCGTGCACTGTCAACAGACCAAGTTTGAGGAACTTGCAGGCACACCCCCTACAGGCTCTAAAACACTCGCCATGCTCGATTAAGAGCTCATTTAGAAGGGTATTCGCCCGTCCTCGCCCCTCAGCCGAAGGATCTCATCCTGAACGCGATCCGTCTTGACAAAAGTGAGCCAAAAGACCTCATTTTGGCTTCCCACAAGGACATTCCCAAATCATCATTTTTCTGACACATTCCACGATGGAAGGACGAATACCACATTATCACCATAGAATGAACTCGTTGAAATGCTCCACGAAGCCACTCACTTCTGCACAAGAATTGCAAATGCTAGGCTCATGTGCCATGAGTCAGTCGTTCTTCGCCATGCGCAAACATGAAGCAGGATCTGCTGACAAAATGTTCCGCTGCGCCTTTTCGGCTCAATAAGGTAAAGGCACGTGGGCTTCATTTCAACCACATGACGTAGCAGTCGCAGTTTCAAGGTTCTCGCCCGTGTGCTCAATAATAACTTGACATTGAGTTGTCCTGACTGCTAGTCGTGAGCATGTCAAAGTCACATGAACACTGCACCGCAGCACCCCGCAGCAATCCGCAGCGCAAGTCAGCAGTGTACATTCATTCATGCTGTCAGTCGGGCGGGGGGCAAGGTTCAGGTTATTTAAGGTTTTGGGATTTGCTTAACACTATCCCAAGAGGGGGCCCCCGATGTGGTACCCAAACCGCGCCCGGTCGCTGTCCTGCGACTCTAAGCGACGCTGCTCTCGCAAGTCCGCCAGCTGCTTCAGGCGGCTGAGTCGAGGGAGGGCAATCGATTTTGGGAGAACGGAAGGTCTCTAGATTGTAGATGGAAAGTGGAACCTCAAGAACTGGTTTCCCTTTGGCTTCCCTCTGGCTTCCCTTTCAACCACCAGCTCAAAAAAGGATAGCCTTATCATGCCCGTAGCAGCAAATGAGCTCCAGCCAGCACCTGAGATTGGGATAGCAGCAATTCGAACCTTCGGTGAGGGACACGCTCACCATACTCAGCTCGATTGGGGGAGGGCAAGGGGCATCCCCGGCAGATTCGTTCCCGGAGCTTGCTTCCCAAGAGCATGCCTGGAACCTGCCCTCTCCTCAAATGCATGTGAGTTTGAGGAGGGGTGGGGTAGTGGACGAAGCCTCAGACTCTACTCCAGTCAAAGCAAGACAGCTCGCCCCACACAGTGCGCATACGTACCTTGCCTTCCTCCGATGATATACACAGCATTTGGCAGCGGTTTTCCCGGCCCTTGTCCAAACACTTCCTAGATGTGCTTGTGCCCCACTCACTGCCGGCCTGGTTTGGGACCGCAGGGCTGTGATCTGCGTCTGCAAGTCGGCGATGACGTCGTCTTGCTTCCGCAAGGCCTGCCTGGGCCGGCTCATTAAGATGGAAGGCAGCTTCTGCTCAGGCAATGGATGGGCTTTGCAAAACCAACGGGATCTCCATTCCCCACCCGGCACGAACTCGAGCAAGGCCAACTCCAAACGGAACGCTCCACCACTTCAAGATCTCTCAGAGAACCGCGGGACCGGCCCCCCATCCACCCGAAAACGGAGCCCAGCGACTGCATGTGGGCCACCTCCGCCTGGAAGAGGCTCTCGGCCGGAAGCTCCGGGGGCTTGGGGCTCGAGGCTGGGCTGCCCAAGCCTTGTGGGGATGGCACCCTCCCGGAGGCCACAGGGCTCAGTGCCATTGCGTGTTAAGAAGGATAGCACAAAATAGGGGCAAGCGGATCGGGGCCTTCAGGAATACCCAAAAAATGTGGAACCTGCTGAGGTTCTGACGCGCAGCCACGAACTCTGCCTGCAAGCTCACTAATTGCAAAAGCGAGCCCTAGATTGGGCTGCGATTGAAGCAGCGCCAACACATGCTCTCCCTGCTTGAGGTCCAAACAAATTGCCGTGGCAATACTGACGCTTGGGATGCGCAACCGACTCTGGCCTGCAGCGTCATTACCAGGGCCTGGCTCTCTGCCAAAGCTTCCTTCACCTTGGCAGTCGCACATAGACCCCTCGTTCAGACCAGGACCCCCTTACGCTTTCCTGGGGCCGGTGCCCTGGCCAGCTCTGGCTGGTCTTCGCGGGGCGAGGATGCCAGCCTCCTCAGTATGCAGGCGCCTACCGCACCCCAATGCAGTTTCATGTCACACTTTTACTTAATATTTTACTTGGAGCCGCCTGCGGATGCGTATGATGCAAGATGCTGCGCGCCAATGAAGGAATCCCTTAGAATCATGGCCGTCAGAGACGCTTTGGATGCACCGCCTCAAACATGCTGGAAACAACGCCAAAAAATAGAAGAAGAAGAAGAAGAAGAAGAAGATCAAGATCCACAGGGGAATCCAAAGCGTTTCTGTGCCAAAGCGTTTCTGTGCCCTACGACTGAAAACCTGATCAAAACGATGCAGCCGCACCAGAAGAGTGGATAACTCGGCCACGCGTCAGGCTGCCGCTGGCTTCGTGCTTGGCCCGGGCCAGCTCCTGCCAAGGCTGGACTGGACGAAGAAAAATGTGTGTGTGTGTGTGTGTGCTTTGTTTTAGGATACCCTTTGCTAGGGTAGCTCAAAAGGCAGCAAAAGGAACAAACGTATGTTGGGGGTCCCACTATTTTGACAAGATGTTGTTCTCCTGACCTGAATTCGGGTTGCTTATTCCTTTTGCGCTCTTTATTTGCCACAGGTTGCTGGCGGCAATTCCGCGGGGGGCACCAACTTGCAAGAGCACGGCGATGTTCCACGCATCTGGTTGCTTTGTTTTGTGTTTCATCGCATTCTAGCCTTCCCGATGCCTTGGATCTGCTTTCGCCAGTGGATTCTTCAGAAAGGAAGCCAACCCAATGTTTCCACGGTGCACCCCGCCTGCTGCAGATTCTGCTCGCTGAGCCTAGCCGCCCGCAGCTCCTGCCGCAGCGCCTCCAGATCCTCTGCCTGGCCCTTGGCCTGCGCCGGGTGCCGAACTGTGCCGGACTCATCCCATCGGGCTGCGCACCGATGCTCCAAAGGACAGACTTGCAAGAACCGACGCGCCAAAGGGTGGCTGCAAAAAAGAATGATACCCCTAAGAAGATGCTTGCAAACCAAAACCCTTCGAGAATATGGTCAAAATATACCGTAAAGCGATGCTTGCCCAGGCCGCCTGGCCAGGCCCAAAAAGAATATCGCTGCTTGCCAAAGCCAAGGCCTTGAAGATAGATGCCCGGAATAAGACGGCTGCAAGACAAAAGAACTCCCATACTAAAACAGACAACCCTATAAGAAGAGCACAAAAGAAGCTCTCTGCAAAACTGATTCCTCAAAGACGATGGCTGCAACAAACCAATAAACTGAAGGAGATGGATGCAAAAATCCAAGCCCCAAAGAAAACATGTGCAAAGATATGCGCAAAAAGATGGCCCAAAGGAGAGGGCTGCAATGATGGCAAAGAAGAAAACGGGACAAAACCGAAACCCTAAAGAGAGTGGCTGCGAGGCAAAAAGAGCCATACCTAGAAGATTGTTGAACAACCAAACCTCTAAAGAAGACGGCTGCAATGCTGCAAAATGCCGATGCCTGAAAACGTCCTTCTGTGCAGGAGATGCTTGCCAAACCGAAACCATAAAACCCTCGAGAACATGGCTGCAAACACTGATGTCTGGAACAACATGGCTGCAGCAAAATAATCTGCAAGAACCAAAGCATCAAAGCAAGTGCCGCAAAAACCAATGCCCTAAAGGAGATGCTTGCCAGAACTAGGTCCCGAAAGATGATGGCTGCAAGAAAGACCGGTTAAAGAAGATGGTTGTGATGGCTGCAAAATGCTTGCCAAACACAAGCCCTGAAAGATGATTGCACATGTTAAAAGAGGTACTGAAGACGGCTGCAAACACTCATCACCCAAATACACATATCATGAGAACAAAATGTCTCCCTCAAAAAGATGATGGCGAAAAGATGATACCTGCACGAAGGTGGGTACGAAGGGAAAAAACAAACTAAAAAAATGATGGCAAAACCCCAATCCTGAAGAAAATGGTTGCAACAAATTATATACGAAAGAAGGTGGGTTGAAAAAGCTATAGCCACAAAGGAGATGGCTGCAAAACATCAATACCCTGAAGTAGATGGTTGCAAATCTGAAAACCGGAAGAACATAGCTGTGGAAAAGTGAAAGGAGATGGCTGCAAAAGACCAAAGCCTCAGCCGCAAAAGGCCTGCTAGAAGATGGTTGAAAAGACGAGATGACGGCCGCAAAAAGATACCTTGAAGGGGATGAGTGCGAAGGGAACAAATGCGATGCCTACAAAGGATATTAAAGGCACAAATGGCTTAAGAAGGTGCTACCGAAAAGACGGTTGCACACCCAAACCCTACAGAAGATAGCTGCAACAAGCCATGGTGTAAACACCAAGATGGCTGCCCAAAAAAAGCGGCTCCGATCCCAACTCTTGAGAACGGTGCGGCCGTTGGAAGATTCATCAGGGCATTCCAAGCTCGGCGCGTGCCTGCTGCCTCGTTTTCTCCAGCTCGTCCTGCAGCCGCTTCACCTGCATTCGCAAAGGGGAAAACAGGAAGGTGGGGAGGTGGGGAGGGGACGGGAAAGGCGAGATACTGCACGAAGACGGGGAAGGGGCAGGGGCCGCAGGGGCGAGCTGCCTCACTCTGCCGGTCGGAGGGCGCACCGTTTCGTACGTTCGTGACGCATTTGAGGGAGGGGTCGGGTGAGCTGTTCGTTGCGCTCATGACACACGGCCTATACGGGAAATGACGAGGTCGGGAGGCTTCGTCCGCTTAAACGTATGGAGGTTGAGCTCATGCACCGAGAAATCAAGATCAATGTGCATGTGAGCGTGCGCGTGCCTGGCATTTGTTCGTCGACGGAACACGACTAAGTCCAACACTCCTGAAACACTTGGCCCGAAGCAATTCGCAAACTTGGACGACGAGGCGCCAACCCGGACCAACACCAGTACTACCCCCTACTGAAAAAAGAAAAAAATCGGACCGGCTGCCCACCCTGGGCGAGAGCCTTGCCTCCACATTGCTGGACCTCAGCTCTGCCGCCAGCCGGGACATCTCGGCCTGCGAGCGGACATGAGACCACACTTAGATTCGTGGCAAAATTGCAAATGGATCTCCTAATGAGGCCGGGAAACTTCGGGTTGGCTGGATCCAGCCATGATTGTGCCGGCAGTCAAGTGGGTTGTCAAGCATGATTCTTGAGACATAGAGGAGGTGGGGAAGTTGAATTATGGCCCCTCAGGAGCGGCAGGGCGGAATCAAACTCCTGAGGACTGGCTGTGGGGCAAGATCAAATACCAAAATGCTTCTCGAAGCCTATCTTAACACATGCATCCCGATCATCCCGTACTGCGTGCAACTTCCACACATGAGGAACTATGCATGACTGGCACAGCCAACCGGATCATTCGGCTGCGACGCCTTGGCTTCTGCGTCACGGCCAGATACATCACGCTTCTCCATAACATGATGATAGCGCTCCTCGGTGCTGAGTTTGCAACCCAAGAAAGGCCTTCGAACACAACTAAGCCACAGACAGCCACAATGATAGGCCCAAAGGCGCGGCGCACTCAGAAATGTTATCTTCTGCCTGTACCGTATAAAAGTCGGAGATTGCCTTCGCGTGAAAAAGCCTGTGACATCCCAGCAGTGAGTTGGTCACCCATACAAAACTGAAGCGCAAACAAACAAACAACTTGCTTCACCAAACGCGCCAAACAGTCAAACACCAGCCAAGGGCACCTGCAAACAAAACCGACAGCTGCTTCATACTAAGTTCCGAAACCTCAGTCACTGGACAGCCAAGCGGCCAGCTCCATCTGTAGACGCTGCACCTCCTGCTGCACGTTTCGCCACTGGGTCTGGAAATGTGCAGCGGAAGCCTCTGCGTCGGCCCTTGGAAGGATGCCCAAGCCGAACAGCACAAAGCCGTTGTACAAGGGGTCGGCCCCTTCCAACCTGAAACCTCTTCCAATGCCTTTGAACAAAATAATCCTTAAATCCTCCACTCAGGGGGCAGGGGGCTGTTTGCAAGCCAACTGCGGCAACCAGAAGGCAGGGAGCTATTCTTCAGGAGATGCCGGCATCGGACTCGGGCACTGAAAGCGCCCAGTCGACAAGGCCAACATCAGCCAAGGCGCAGTCGGTAATCCGACGCGTGTCTGGACTTCTGCTCCTTTCCTTGGATCACATTAGAGTTGGGCCGAACCGCCTGTGTACGCATATCGAAACACCCATCGTTAAACATATTTTGCCCTCATCACATGCACTTGTCAGAACTCGGGACGCGCGGATTTCCTTGCTCCTTCCTTGAACTGTTTGAGAAAAACAATGCTACCACGCCTCTCCCTCGACAGCACTACACTACTGAAGGCCAACTATCTCTTCTTCGACGTGTGTAGCAAACACTATTGAAAAACACTGAAGATGCTTGTCCTTTTCGCCAAGGGCCACGGTCAACTAGTGATCTCAAAACGCCTTAAATGAGCCAAGCCCATGGCCATGGGTAGAACTGTGTCATGCAGGCACGGTGTACCCGGAATGGCTCCGAGAAACACACAAATCCTCCATTCCAGCAATGGAAACAGCCGCCGTTTTGCTGAAGCAAGGCACCCGAGAGCTTGGCTAGCTCGCCGCGGAGCTGCGAGCGCTCGCGCTGCGCCTCGCAGGGTTGAATCCGGTAAAGCCTGGAGGGGTAAGCTGCAAAAATTGGAAATATCTGTCCAACCTAATATCAAAACCTGGATTTGTGTTCCTCTAGTACTGCAGGCTTGTCCATTTGACCTCCCAATCCTTCACCAGTATGCCAGAAACAGGATGGCGGCTTAAAGTTGGCATCCCATGAGGCTCAGGTCAAACCGGAAAATACGGGGCAGAACAGGCACTGATTGTGAATGATACGATGATCATTGAAAACACCCGGACAGTGAAAACCAACCTACAACATGACATTAAACCGAAACAAACATCTGCACATGTCCTGCAATTCGGAAGTGGTACCGAAGCGGAAACCTCCCAATTTCCACCCAAAAACAAACGCGGCTGACTCATTGCGCACCTCATCCCAGACCGGCAGGATATCGCGCTGCAGCGAGGCGATGGCTTCCCGGAGGTTGAAGTTTGGAAGAAGCAACCTGCGGTTTTGGCCAGACTGCGCGGACATGTCGCAAGACAATATTGATCAACAGTACAACAAAAGTTGACTTCAATGGTGTTTCGGTGCTTTGAAATGTTCACGCGGTTTCAGGACACTATAGAAAGGGTGTGGATGTATTTTGGGATTTTTTCCGTTTGTTTTTATTATTATTATTTGTTGTTTAGTTTTTCGTCCGGGCCAGTAATATTTTACAGCATTTTCTCGCGAATTTGACGCATTTTACACTAGCCCGTCAACCTCCCCAGCATCGTTTTCAACATCCCCCGCATGTCCGACCAACATCCCTAGCATCACCAGCAAATAGTGGGCAACAAAATCCAAAAAGTAGCTGGCGGGTTCACGGGGTCAAAAAAAATAATGCTTCAAACAGGAGGGCATTTTAATCCCAGCCAAAAACAAAAATAAAAACACAGAGCGGGGGGTTGGAGAGAGGGCAGCCCCCCCCATGATGGTCGCAGAAGTGATGATTCGAATAGGGGTGCAAGTAAATCTCTGCAAAACTAGCGGGGGTTGGGGGGGGGGGCGGCAAAAAAACACAAAAAACAATTTAAAAAACAGAGTGGGGGGTTGGGGGGGGGCGGCAGCCCCCCCCATGATGGTCGCAGAAGTGATGATTCGATTAGGGGTGCAATTAAATCTCTGCAAAAAGCCTAAAAACTAGCGGGGGTTGGAGCGGGGGTTGGGTGGGGCGGCAGCCCGCCCCCCATGATGTTCGAAGAATTGATGATTCAACTAGGGGTGCAATTAATTCAATCTCTGTAGAAAATCTAAAACGTAGCGGGGGGGTTGGGGGGGCCCCCCCATGATGTCGGAAGAAGTGATGATTCAAGTAGGGGTGCAATGATTCAAGAAAGGGTGTGATAGAATTTAAAAGGCAGCGGGAGGGTTGGCGGGGGTGGCTTCCCCTATGATGTTCGAAGAAATGCATACATACAGACATACATGGATTACACAGATTACCTAAAATGTCGTATTTTGCAGCATTTTCTCGCGAAATTGGACGCTCGAAAAAGTGATGATTCAAACAGGGGTGCAATTCAATCTCTGCCGGGCCAGTAAAGTGTCGTATTTTACAGCATTTTCTCGCGAAATTGACGCATACATCCCCAGCCCGTCAACATCCCCCGCATGTCCGACCAACATCCCTCGCATCACCAACAAATCGTGTGACGGGGTCAAAGAAATGATGATTCAAGTAGGAGGGCATGTCAATCCCTGTAAAAAATACATATAAAAAGTAGCGGGGGGGTTGGGGGGGGGGCCGCCCACGATGTTGTTTGCAGAAGTGATGATTTGAATAGGGGTGCAATTAAATCTCTGCAAAAAGTCTAAAAAGTAGCGGGGGGGTTGGGGGGGGCGGCAGCCCCCCCCATGATGTTCGAAGAAGAGAAAATCTAAAACGTAGAGCCCCCCATGATGTCGGAAGAAGTGGTGATTCAAGTAGGGGTGCAATGATTCAAGAAAGGGTGTGATAGAATTTAAAAGGCAGCGGGAGGGTTGGCGGGGGTGGCTTCCCCTATGATGTTCGAAGAAATGCATACATACAAACATACATGGATTACACAGATTACCCAAAAAATGTCGTATTTTGCAACATTTTCTCGCGAAATTGGACGCTCGAAAAAGCGATGATTCAAACAGGGGTGCAATTCAATCTCTGCGAGAAATCTAAGTATCGGGGGGGAGGCGGCAACCCCCCCCATGATGTTTGAAGAAGAGTTGATTCAAATAGGGGTGCAATTACTCTGCAAACAATCTAAACAGTAGCGGGTGGGTTGGGGGGGGGGTCCCTCCCCATGATGTCCGAAGAAGTGATGATTCAATTAGGGTGGTGGTGATGCTGATGATGCGGGAAGCCAAATCCCAAAACCAAAAAGCCACCAAAAGCCGCATAAACCAGCAAAAAGCCGAAAAGCCCAGAAGCCCAGAAGCCGAGAAGCCAAGAAGCCGAAAAGCCAAGAAGTCAAGAAGCCAAGAAACCAAGAAGCCAAAAAGCCAAGAAGCCCAGAAGCCCAGAAGCCGAGAAGCCAAGAGGCCGAAAAGCCAAGAAGCCAAGAAGCCGAGAAGCCAAGAAGCCGAAAAGCCAAGAAGTCAAGAAGCCAAGAAGCCAAGAAGCCAAGAAGCCAAGAAGCCAAAAAACCAAAAAGTCAAGAAGCCAAAAAGCCAAGAAGCCAAGAAGCCGAGAAGCCAAAAGCGAAAAAAAACATCCTTAAAAAAAAATGGGGGAAAAAAAAACCTTAAGGAAAAAAAAAACTAAATCCCCCGCCTATAGAAATCGCAGTTTCACTGACGCAAAATGCACACAGCCCCCTCTTTGATGGGACCATCGTGATGAATTGACACACACACACACACACACTCCAATCTTCAACAAAGCGTGCTATGCGCATTTCACCCCAGCGCAAGTGCGATTTCAAAGTTTCGGACCGGAGGCCGTCACCATGTTTTAGCCCTCCGCTCTGGCACGCAATAGGGTGACAAGAGCGTGAACATTCTTCCGTGCTGGCAGTCTGGCGCTGTGCGCTCGTGCGACCGACCACGGTCAGCTTGGCACGCGGGGCGTGAGCAGGCTGTTTGAGACGGGGGATATGGTTTCAGGAAACACCCAAAGTTTTGTAGAGGAGTCTGCAGCAAGAACGTGCAACATGTGTCACACGTCAAAAATCACACCCCGAGAAATTCGTCATCAAAACGCCTGTCCGACACCGGCTCCCCAGTGGTCGGCGATGCCAAACTGGATCTGGATCTTTCTTGGGCGCGAAACCAATCCAGAGCGCACTGGCGGCAGTACGAATAGCCTCCAGCGCACCCGTGGAAAACATGGAAGAGCGCAATCAAGAAACTGTGGGGTGTTTCAAAGCTAAGGGGCGCAACACCCGTCTGCCAGACAGCAACATTCATTTCGCCTGTAGCCTTTTAGTTTCACAAAAAAAACCTTGCATGCCCCTGGGACTCCTCCCAGAGGCATTCTGTCACAGCTTTGCATTTTCGTTCCAAGATCATTAGATGGCCAACCCTGGCCAGCCAATTCACAAGCCGCTTTTACTGCCAAGGTTCCATCGCCTGTCGCCACTGCTGCTTGCAGTGTCCGCTTGCACAGGAAGCCTCGGAAGGAAAGAAAACACAAGCATGAGGAATATTTTAGCACACGCCAAAACATCAACAGATTGCGGCCGTTGTGCAGGAGAAACCTGCGACCATGGGCAGCGTGCACGGAACATCTTCAGCTGCCTTCTGGACCTCACACACTGCCCTTCGAAGTCCAGCCACACAAAATAGTTGTCGTGGAAAAAAAGTCCCTCATGCGGCAAAGCTACAGCATCTTGGGCTTTTGGAACATCATGCTCCAGCATGCAAGCGGCATGGGCGAGTCAGATTTTTCAACTTGTTTCCAACCATTCCCCACCCAAGACTCTTCCCTTCGCACTCGTGTTTGTTGAAAGTTTGCGCATGTGTGTGTGTGTGTCTGCATGCAAATGCTGGACATTATGTTGTTAACTACGAAACAAATAGGGAAAAAAAAGGAACCGAATAACAACTCGCGGCACGCCGTTCATGATTTTGAGCGGGCGCAAAACAAAGCGTGGAAAAACCAAACTGCAAAGGTGCAGTAGTGGCGAGCAAGGAGCCGGGTGGCAAACAGACCTTACGTCGACACTCACCCCCGACCCCCAAAAAAATAGTACGGACGGTGACGTGTCAGAGTTCAAGCGCTGAGACGCCGTGGGGTGGCGTATGCGTTGGGCCAGCTTATGTCCTTTCGACGCCAAACGTGAAGGGGCATCCCTCCCACCCACCCTCTTGAACACATGCAACACATATAGCATCCAAGCAATTCCACCATGCTCACATGCACATGAACAGCAAACAGATGTCTGTTCAAAATGTTTTGTTAAAACAAAAACTTGTTCAGACAAGTTCTGAAATTCAATGCGTTCTTTCTTGGCACTCGCGCGCCCTGCTTTCTGGAGCGCGGGGCTCAGGAGGAAAAACAATTCGAAGCCAAATGTTCCTGTCTGCGGCGTCATGCACTCATGACTTCGGGAGTGGTCTTCAATCTTCAAAGAAAAGTATCGTCACAAGTGACATCACACGTGCAGCAGGGCAGGGCCAAATGTCAAGCAGAGCGAAAAACACTGCTGAAGCGCAGCGGCCGGGTAGACAAGTGTAGCACACGAGTGCACGAACGAGAAACCATCTGCCCACAGGTTCCATTCGCTCAGCGGGGGCGCTAGCTGGACTGGCCAGGAAAACCATGCCAAGGAGGAGTGCGTCTGAAGGCCTGACGACCTCGAGGACGGGCTCTCCCTCCACAGCTGGTGCAAGGTAGGAGGTGCGGTGGAGCGACCGGAGGCGCACCAAGCGGCTGATCCCAAGTCTCGGGCAAGAACCACCGGTGGCGTCGCAGCACAATGCCTCTCCCAAGCGCGTTGCGCCAAAGGTCCAGTCGCCTGCCCCCGCACTCGGGGAACCCTCCCCCGCCAGCTGGGGGGCACACATGCATGTGTGCTGGAGGCTGCCCGGGTCAGTGGGCACAGTGGGACGCTCCGTCTCGCAAAAACGGGTGTCACGCTTGTGCGGCGTGCATGCGGCGTGTAAGCTGCCAGCCATGGGGCCAATCGCCCGGTTCGCCGTCAGCTGCTCAAGTGGGCGGCGCTGCTTGTGCAAGGAGATTTTCCAAAACGGGCAGCCTCACGCAGGCAAGGCGCGGCGGCCTCGTCATCCACGAGCAGCTCCCGCACGCATCGCTCCGCCGCATCAGGGCGATGCTGGAGCAACAAGGCGTCAGCCCACGCCGCTCAATAAGCGGCCGGCGCAGGGGCAGCACGAGGCGCGGCGCAAAACGAGAGCAGCCGCATGCAGACTGCAAGTCGGGGAGCTGCGGCAGCAAGGGCTAAAGGAAAACGTTTTAATCGACGCGGCGTAACGCATTGACACATTGCCGTTTCACGAAACAATGATGGCAATCCACAACATGTTGTTGTTTCCCTTGCAGCTGTCCGTCGGGTGAAACATTAGCGAAAGCCGTCGACCCAACCTGCTGCACTGCGACAAAAAACTGCGCACACTAGCTCCAGTGCCCACCAGAAACTCCGAGCCGAGGAGGGAGCGCTGTGGCCCCTGGGCATGCCGTCGCTCCGAGCCGAGGAGAGAGCGCTGTGGCCCCTGGGCATGCCGTCGCTCCGCGGTTCGCAAAGCCGGCGCCCATGCAACGCGGCTCTGTCAGTGAGGCTTCCCCGGCCTTGCTGCCGCCCAGCTGCCACAGTACAACATGTGCCAGGTTTTCTGCGTTTGCGCCGGTGGGCTGCAAATCGGGCTTGGAAGGTGCAGGGGTTGAGCGCCTTGCACTTTCACTCCTTCACTCTTCTCACTCCACACGACGAACATGTTGAACATAGCAAATCCAAAAACGCTGTCGATACTGCTGCATCGCATTCCTGACGCAAATGCTCAGAACCTGTTGCCGGAGCGTTTCGTCAAACATTGCATTGCCTCCTTCCAGCCGAAATGGTTGCAATTTGCTGCTGCAAACGACGGGCCGCGCAGCAAACACTCCCTGAACGGCTGCCCCCCACCAGCGCTGGTAAGCGGAAACGATCGTTCGGCGCTGCGCCGCAGGGCTTTCGAGAGCTTGGCCTTGCGCCAAGCGGTGGAGGAAGGCCCGCCATTGCGACCTTGCCTTGGCAATTCCATGCGTCGCGAATACGCCACTTACACTACCGCGATCGCGTGTTGTTGAACTCTTTTCCGCCACCTGAAAACGGGGCCCAGACTGGAGCCTGGGTAACGGCCATCCCGGCTGGCCCGCCACGCCTCGTTCGCCGACCAGCGGGCATGGCCCAGTGACCTTCCTCCCACATCCGCTGACATTCAGACACGACAACGCGAGCCGCGTTGAAAGCCTCGTGGCCCAAGAGTGCCTCCACCAGCACTTATTGCACGATTCCGGGCACATACCCCTCAGCGTCGCTGCTGGGAAAAAAGGAAGAGCAAAAAAACACGCCTTTAGGGGGGACGGTAACCAGCCCAGTGCATGTGCGCAGGCGAGGGCTGGGGCGGCCAGTTGCAGCCTGGTCGTTGCGCTGGCGCACTCCCCTCCAACAAGCCCTCCCAAGAGAAAACAATCGCCCAGCCTTCCGGCTGCAGCTGAGCTCGGGCCGCCTCACGTTTCCTGTTAGCTGGGCGGGCCTGGCCCGCGTGCCGGGGAGCTGAGCTTGGCAACCCGCGCTTCCGCGAAACCGGCACAACGTGCCCGTATGACTGCGAGCACATCAGCCCACCCTACCCAGCAAGTTGCGAAAGAAACCCGCGCAGCCGAGCTGAGCCCCAAGCCACCCATAGCAGCTGGAAGGCACGCAACAGCCCGCGCATACGCGCCGGGTGTAATTAGTGCGGGGAGCCGCGCACATGGCCAGCAACAACGGACGCGCGGCAGAATGTGAAGGAGCACGCGCTCCGTGGCCGACGTGGTCATCAAGGAGTGCGGCTCGCTCCTCATTCGGCTGGAAAGAAGACCAACAAATCCTGCCCCGTCTGCCAGCGCTCGTTTGCAACGTGTATGGCGACGGCTGCGTAGCAGCGTCGAACACGTCTGCCCATTCTTTGGCAAGAGCGCGGGACCAGCCGCCCGTTCAGTTTGCGGCTGCGAGGCGGGGGCCGCGACAACTTTGGCAAGAACTTCTGCTTGCCAAAACGGTGTCACACACGCAAGCAGTTTCAGGCCGTCCACACGCATGCCCGACAAGCCAGGCACGCTGCCGCGCTTGCTGGCGGGCAGGGCCACGGCAAACACTTCCGGGGTGATGCGTGGGAAGGCTTCCAGGGTGAACTCCACTGGGGACTCCGTCTCGCGGCTCGGGGGGTCGACGCTCGGGGTCGGTGAGTAGAGACTTCCCTTTTACAGGCGCGGGCGCCGGCTGCCTGCGTGCGAGTTCGCGGCATTTTCGTACGCAGCTCCGCGGCAAGGCGAGCCAGTCACCATGTTGGAAGGCGACCAGCCTATCCAAGAGTGCCCGTCTCCCTGCTGGTCCTTTTTGCCGAACACGCGCGCGAGCAGCGTGCGTGGGGTCAGCAAGAAAAGGTTCCAAGCCTGTGCGCAGGCCTCGGGGTTGCTGGGCCTTGGGGCGTCCTGGCCAGATGTGGCGCAGGGCTTGCGCCAGTGCAGCGCACGCCGAAGCCCGAACGCACGGAACAACTGCCAAGGGACCGACAACTGAGGAAAGCAAACGGGCCCTGCTGTCAAGTGGGTGCTGACGAGCTGCACTGCCACGAACGGGATCCCCAAACACAGTTAGGCCATCGGAGTCCACTGGAGCTGGCTCCGGGAAACGGGAGCCTGGGCTGAACCAGCAGTGGAACGCAGGCTCCAAGCGCAGGGGAAGCCATGAAGCGCCAGCCAGTGCTACCCCAGTTCACGCCATGAGCGTGCTAGCATTGGAAGCTTCCGACTGGCACACAGGTGCCCTCCGTGTTTTTGGAACGAGGCAAGGTGCAAGTCTGTCGCTGTCAGCGCCCACGGGTTAGGTCACTGCAATGGCCACCGTGTTTTTTTTTACGCGCGCCTTTTTCCCTTTGCGCAGGCGGCTAGAGGTAGGGGCGTCGTGCAGTTGGAAAGCCAATGCCCGGGCCGAGAGCCGTGCGAAGTGCACCGCTTTCGGCTCTCCAGCGGCCGTCGGTCTCGAACGCAAGCATGGCAAATGCGCGGCGGCTGTGAGGGCTGAATCGCGCGTTGCCCTGCCGGCGATGTGACGTGCTGCGCCGCAGTCATGTTGACCCAGCTCAGTGCAACCCCAAGGTCCCCTTCAATCAGGCAGCAACCAGAAGCTCAATACTCGCAAACAAGTTGTGCAAAGTCATCCGTGTGACGGCTCCACCTGTGGGCCGACCCCAGGTTTTGCCTGACGCATCGGCGTGCGAGAAGAGCTGCAAGGAGCAAATTTCCAATGTTGCCGCGAGAACACATAACAGTCATTGGCCGCGGATGCTCAGTTGTCCATTTGGACTGGTGCTCTGTTGTCAGCAAAGCCCGGCGACCCGGCTGACATAAAGCGCTCCGGAACCAAGAGGAAACGCCCGTCTGCGCTGCTCGCCGAGGGCAAAACGGATGTGCTAGCAGCATGGTTCTATGAGGAAGTTTTCGGTTTCTCTCTTGGCCTGGATGCCGAAAGGAGGCCAGGAACAAAGGGAAGGATGAACAAAACGTGCAGCCTGGGCTCGAGGGCCATTGGCTCGGTGGCCCGGACGTGGCCCGGACTGGTCAAGCACACGCTCCAGCTGGCAGTGTGGCAGCTGCTCCACTTATCCCAATGCCTACATGGACAATTACGGCGTATTTCTCACAAAGGCAACGAGGGATGCATACTGATGCGTCATTTTTGAAATGGCAAGGTACCTCCACAATCCTT